GCTGCCCCACCTCCCCGTGGCCCCCCCCATGCATTCGGTGTCACCAGCCGCAGCACAGTATGGGAGCCCAGAGGAGCGTGGTGCCCCCCGGGCTGGGGGTACCCGGGGGGGCTGCGCGGAGGGTGGGGAGCCAGACGAGGTAGACCGCCTCAAGGGCCGGCTGATCTCCGCTTGGAACAATGTCAAGTATGGTAAGTACCAGGGGGGCAGGGGGTCCCTGGCACCAGGGGTCCCAGCTCATAGTCCCCTCTGCCCCTCAGGCTGGACAGTGAAGACCAAGACCCACTTCAGCAAGCACTCGCCTGTGTACCTCTTCGGCCGTGACTATCATCTGGACACTGAGGGTGAGCCCTGGGGGTTGCTATGAGAGGGAACAACTGGGGCCCCCCAGCCATGGGAAGCCCAGGGTACGCTTCCAGGAAGTGATGGTGAAGAGTGGGGACTACCTGGGAGGTGATTTGGGGGTAGGGGAGGTGACAGGGAGGGGGACAAGGCCCCCTGGAAGGTGATGGCAGGGAGATAGGATCCCAGGAAGTGACAGGGGCAGGAGGAGAAGGCAGGGTCCCCTTGGAAGCTGATGGGAGGGGAGCTGGGGCTCCTTGGGAGGTGACTGAGGGGGCAGAGGACTGCCTCGGAAGTTGTGGGGTCCCCCCAAGAAGTGATTGGGGGGGGAGGTCCTGTTGGAGGTGATAGCGGGGAGGAGGAGATGATGGGGGATGGACAGCCACCTCGCCCAGGAGGTGCCTGGAGAGAGGGGTATGCTTCCCCCCCCCAAAGTGACAGGGGCTCTGCACTGCCTGACAGAGGCTGTGGAGCGCTTCCAGACAGACTTCGCCTCGCGCCTGTGGCTCACCTACCGCCGTGACTTCCCTCCCTTGGGCAGCGGGCTGTGGAGCACGGACTGTGGCTGGGGCTGTATGCTACGTAGTGCCCAGATGCTGCTTGCCCAGGGGCTGCTGCTTCACGTCCTCGGCCGAGGTGAGGGGACCCCAGAGCTGGCCGTTTTTCCCACCCCTTCGAGCCCTGCCCTGCCTTGCCCGGGAGTGGCTAAAAACCCAAGCATCCTGACTCTGGGAGCTCTAACAGGGCTCCTCTTGCCCTCCCCAGACTGGACCTGGCCAGATGCCCCGTTCAGTGCTAGCCTGGCGGAGATGGAGCCAGGGAAGCTTGCGGCATCCGAGCAAGGCTGGCGCCTCTGGCCTTCCCCTGCTGTGCCTGGCCTCAGCCCCCGGCAGCAGGAGGAAGAACAGCAGCACCGCACCCTGGTCTCCTGGTTCGCCGACCACCCGCAGGCCCCATTTAGCATCCACCGCCTGGTGGAGCTGGGTCGCGGCTCTGGAAAGAAGGCTGGGGACTGGTACGGCCCCTCCATCGCTGCCCACATCCTCAGGTAAGTCTAAGTGAGAGGGAGTGAGGTGGGGCTGGGTTGTGGGGGGGCAGGGCATCTCACGCCTCTAACTGCACCCCCCCCTCCAAATCCCTAGGAGAGCTGTGGAGAGCAGCTCTGGGACCAGCCGCTTGGCCATCTATGTTTCTCAAGACTGCACAGGTGAGTGGCACACCCCCAGCAGGGGATGGGGGAGGTGAGATAAGCACCCCAGGTTCCTAAATCCTTTTGCCCTCCTGCAGTGTACAAGGGGGATGTGGCTGGCCTGCTGCGTGGAGGGGCAGCTGGTGCTGTCATCGTGCTGGTGCCCATGCGCCTGGGGGGAGAGACCCTGAACCCTGTTTATGTAAACTGTGTGAAGGTAGGCATGTTGCAGGGACGGGTCCCAAAGGTTGGGGGAATAGCCGGACATAAGGGATGAGGTCAGGAGTTGAACCGGGGAATTCATCAGCCCTGGGGCAAAACGTAGTCTTGATGTGGCCCTCATGCCCCTGCAACCAGCTCCCAGCAGGGTAGGGGGCTGGGGCTGGGGCCAGGGCCAGGCCTGGGGGGATTCAGGGCTGTGTTTAAGGTAGGTGGAGCCTGTTCCCCACTTTCGTGCTATGTCCCCAGGAGCTGCTGAAGCTGAAGGCCTGCGTGGGCATCATTGGGGGGCGGCCCAGGCACTCACTTTACTTTGTCGGCTTCCAAGGTAAGGAACACCCCTTCCAGGGGCGGGGAAGAGTCTTGGAGGTATCTGGACTCTGTGTGTCCTACAGTCCACACCTGGTGCCCTGGGAGTAACAGCCAGAGTTTTTTGGGTGGGGGTGGAAATTAGTGGTCTCTGCGCTGCCTTTCAGATGACTACCTGCTGTACCTGGACCCCCACTACTGCCAGCCCTCTGTGGACACCAGCCAGGAGTGCTTTCCACTGGAGGTATGTATGTCTCTGCACCCTCCCCAGCTCCAGAAGCTGCCCTTCCCCCACCCAACCCTCACTTTGCCCCTTTTTCTCCCTCTCCCCCAGTCCTACCACTGCGGCTCCCCCCGGAAGATGGCATTCACCAAGATGGACCCTAGTTGCACCATCGGCTTCTATACCCAGGCTGGGCAGGATCTGGATACTCTCTGTGCCCAGCTAGCCCAGGTGAGGGGGCCTTGAGATAGTGGGGAGGTGGGGAAGATGCTCAGGACCCCCTTTCCCCTGCTGGGCATGGTTGCCTCCTTCTAATCCTGCTTCCACCCCCCTTCAGGTGCTAAAAGCTGCTTCTACCAAGGACAAGTACCCCATGTTCTCTGTGGTGGATGGCCGGGCCCAGGACTATGGGCTGGAAGAGCTGTGCTCCCGCCTGGCCCCTCTCCCTGCCCTGCGTCCTGGGAGGCGTAGCAAGGGAAAGAAGCCAGAGGCTGATGACTTTGTCTTCTTGTGATCTGACTTGATATCCCCCAACCCCCTACTGGCCACCAAACAGAGCCAGGGGAGTGGGGGGTGGTCTGTGGCCATAACTCACACTGGAAATGTACAGCGCCTGGCGCAGGTCTCTTACTCCTCAGGGTTTAGAGCTGGTGCTGCTGCTGCCCCCTAGTGATGGGGGACTGGAACTGCTCTCAAGTCGGGGGAGGGAGCAGGGGAATGGAAGACTGCAGGGACCATGGTGAAGGTGAAGCCTCTCCCACTTCCATGACATTACTGCCCACGGGGTGGGGGGTGTATCAGGGTATGCTTCATGCTGTGGGGGTCTGTCTGGGGCTATTTATTGTCTGTCTCACCCCACCTCCCCACCACCTGTGATTTGCCCTTGGAATTAAAGGCTAATGCAGGTAAGGACCAGGCGCCTTCTCTGGGGCATGGCAGGGTTAAGTTGGGGTGGAAACCAGGGCAAGACTCAGTTGAAGGCTATGCGGGGTCTGTACCAGCATGATGCCTGGCCCCAGGAAGGTGGTGGACATGGCCCCAGCCCTGGAGGCACTGCTAAGGCAGACAGTAGAACCCTGGGAGCTGCGACTCCAGGTGGCTGTGTCCAGGTCCCTCCCTATGCTTGGGAGGGGTGGCTAGAGTCCACCCTCTTTTAAATTAATGGGAGGGTTTAAGACGTGGCTGAAGTCTCTACGCCCCCAGGAGATTGCAGGGAAAAGAGTCAGTGCTATGTCAAGCCTGAATTCCTGGCTGTAGGTCTTAGCTGGATCTAGAAAGTGGGTACAGGCATGGTGGCCCTTGCTGAAGGGAACAGAGGCATTAACTGCAGTGAAATGCCTGAGGCTTTTATTAAAGAAACCATACCCCTGTCCCCAGGAGAGGTCAGTACTGCTGCTGCTGGCTGGAGAGGGACCCATGTGTCTGAGCCACTACCATCAGCAAAAAGCAGGAGGAAGGGACCATACCACAGTCCCAGTCTGGCTGAATGTACCCCCCTCCATCTCCCAGGATTTAGGCAATACCCTATACACACACACGAAGGGATTAGGCCTTAGCAGCAGGACCTGGGCATCCAGGCTTCTTCTCCTTTCTCTTGTCCCGCAGCAACTGGCGGTAGCGGAGGCGCCGAGGGTTCAGGCCAAAAGCTTGCAGGCGCTGGCCACTGAACTGGCGCCCGCCCAAGCATACAGGGCCCCGCCGGACCCCCCATCGACTCCCACGTGGCCTCTTGTTGACCTTTAGCTTGGCTGTACTGGAGTTGGTAGCCACAGGCATCTGAAGCCCCATCACAGCCTCAGCATCATCCTCCTCTTCCCTGGGTCTCATCTCAGCCCCTGGCACTAGTGGGGGGTGCAGCTTATCCTGGCGTTTCTTCCCCAGATTGGGACATGGCATAGATGCCAACTGTGGCGCCTCTTCCTGCCTGTGTGCATGGGTGTGGAGCTCAGCAGCGGGCTCTTCTAGGACCACCCCCTCACCTCTGGCACAGCCGCCCCAGCAAGAAACCAGAAGATGGGCCAGACAAGTTATGGGACCCAGGAGCCTAAGAGCTGAGCTGGCTGCACTCCCCTTCCTCCATGTCCCTCCAGAGAACCCAGTTCAGGGCTGGCAAGGCAGGGTGGCAATCCAGGGGGGACCCTGCTGCTCCCCAACTTCCAGGCCTCACCCAGCCTGACAGCCCTTGGCCAGGAACACAGGTGCCAGGAATGGCAGGAGTGAGTAAGAGCACAGAGTGGCCTTTCTGGAGCTCCCCTCCCCCAGCCCTGGTGCACTACCAGGCAACGCAGAAGTTTGGGACTGGGAAAGTCACAGAGGACCCAGGAGATCAGGGCAGGAGAAGAGGAGGTGAACCCTCAGACTCCACCATCCCTCCAGGGAATCCAGGAGTCCTGTCCCACCCCATACCTGGCCGAGAGAGAGGACAGAATCTGCTGCTTCTTGCGGGGGTCTTGGGCTTTGCAGCTGTAGGCAGCCTGATCCTGCAGTTCCTCCTTCTCCGACCTGCCGAGGGTAGGGGAGCAGATGCTCAGTGCCAAAGGGGTCCCAGGGGCTGTGTCCAACCCCCCAACCCTGCTGAGGGGACAACTCGGGACAGAGGCACCAAGTCCCAGGCAGGCAAAGAACAAAGGCTTCTGGCTTAGAGTCAGGAAGGGAACCCAGGTATCTGGGCCCTGACTCCCTACCAGGCTGAAGAATAGATCCCAGGTGTCTAGGCCACAGAACACTGCCCCCACCCCCGCACTCTCACAAGATGGAGAAGAACCCAGGGGTCCAGGCCCTACCCCCTCACCGGTACATGCAAGTCTTGCGTAGGGAGCACCAG